CAAGTCCAAGCTGTACTGTAAGCATCCTTGCCACTCAAGCCATATAACCTGATGGACCTTATAGTGTTGAAGGTGCCAGTAGTGGTAAAAGATGATGTATAGATTTTATGGTGCATCCCAGTGGAAGAATCATCATGCAGGTCCCTAGGGTTCTGGATAAAGACCATTTCACCTGCAGTGGAGAATTATTATATGCGTTTTGGAAAATAGTTCCTGGCATGTTACTGGGCCCTGGTAGACAGAATGCATCCAGAGTAAGCATGCATCCAGAACTGCTCATCATGTGCTCAGTTGTTTTAGACCCATCTAGTCATAAAGTCAGGTGGGCCCAATAGCAGCCTATTGTAAGATGAAAATGACACATTAGGGATTGAGCCTGAACAGAATCAGAGGGCACAATTAAGCTGCAAGAGTAGCTGCAAGGTCTAATCTCTTCATCATTGCCTTAGTTAAACCAGTGCCCCCTCACCCTCAGGTTACAACTGTGGCCAGTGAAGTGGGGGAAAGTTCCCACACAACCAAATGAGGGGGAGGAGAAAGTCTAAGCTTGGTTTATGGGTTTATGCATAGGTTGGCCTGTTATGGGGGTGCAAGCCAAAAATGGATGGTGTGGCTGCATTAAAGCTACTCAGGAGTGGTCTTTAAAAATGTGGAAAGGAAAAATCTTTCAAAGGGTAGAGCAAGCAGTGTCCCTAGGTATACACTTTGTACAGGAGAAGTGACCTGAGGTGAGAACATATATTAACTCATGGGCAGTGGCAAATGGCCTAGTTTGCTACTCAGAAGCTTGGGAAAAAAAAGACTAGAGGAGTGGAAACAAGGAAGTCAGGGCTGGAGACACATGGATGGGCATATGGGAGTCAGCAGGGAGCACGAAGATCTCTGTTACTTGTTAACACCCACCAGAAAGCAACCACCATAGAAGAGGCACTAAACCACCAAGCAGACAAAATGACTTGGTCAGTTAACATTAGCTGGTCTTCATTATCAGCCACCCCAGGACTGACTTGATGGGTCTATGAATGGAGTAGCCATGGTTGTAGAGATGAAACCTACTCTTGGGCCCTACAGCATCTATTCTCCCTTACCAAACTAATCTAGCTATTGTCACCTCTCAACTTCCAACCTGCTGGTAAAAGACCAATGCTGAGCTCCCCAGTATGGCACTATTCCTTGAGGAAACTAACCAGTTACTTGGTGGCAAGTTGACTCCATTGAACTCTTCCCACCGTGAAAGAGCAAGTGGTTTATTCCCTCACAATAGACAACTTTTTCCACATAAGTTTACCTTTTCTGCCAGCAGAGCCTTAGCCAGTACCATTCTCCTGTCCTTGTATCTTTTATAACTATTACTTTGTCTCAGCATCTGCTTCCTGCAGGACCCAACTGACACACTTGCCCTCCTCCTCTTCCCCTCCAGACAGGAGGGTTATTATCTGGAGAAACTGAAGAGAAGAGGAATGGACTTGGAGACCCCTAATTACAGTAGGAGGCTGGTATTTAGTGTATTAAGACCTTTAATAGATGGTTAAGAAAGCTCCATACTAAAATCTATTCTAAATCGCTTCCTTTCCCTTCCATTTCCAGAAGCAAAAATGAGCCATGTCACTGGAGGCAGAAGAGAAATGGCCCCAAAGAAAAAATGGCTAGATACTGCTATCAGTAGGTTCCACCCCACAAATGGCCCACTTTCCACTCAATCATTCTACGAGGAAACATCCCCTGTCTACGTACACTGAGCTTCTGATAACTTCCTAGAGCCACACTCTGAACAGACAGCCAAGGTCAATCAGATGACTGAGTAAAGCTTCCAACATGACATAGAATACCCAAAGCACCATATAAACAAACCAACAAACATGAAAGAAACTAATTGAAACAGATATAATGTAGAGAATGCAAAAACAAAAAAACCAAACCCACTGCCATCAAGTCAATTCCGACTCATCGTGACCCTATAGGACAGAGTAGAACTGCCCCATAGGGTTTCCAAGGAGCGGCTGGCAGATTCGAACTGCCAATCTTTTGGTTAGCAACCATAGCTCTTAACCACTGTGCCACCAGGGCCCCAATGTAGGGAATAGGATGAAAAAATCAGTAATCCTCAGATAAAATATAACCATAAAATGAGAATAGGATATTATATTTAAAAAAGAACAAACGGAGAAGACAAAAGAATTCTTGGAAATTATACTCAGTAGAATATTGGAGTACCTAGAAAAGTAAAAAGAAAAATTAGATGATTACTAACTCCAAGAAAAATGAAGTTTTACAAGATAGGAATTAAAACCATAGTACATGTCTTGGCTATATACTGGGAAAAAAAATGAAATTTTAATAATATAAATTACAAAAAAAAAAACCAAAAAAACCAAACCCACTGCTGTTGAGTTGATTCCAACTGATAGACTGGAAGGGAATGGGATGTAGAGGGTGTGTAATAAAGCTAAATCCTCATTTATTATTACAGGAAGTTGATAATAAAATAAGAGCAGTATAAGCACATCATTTAAAAACATAAAAATAGATACCAGAATGGGGGGAATATGGTGGTGGGAGAGAGAGGTGAAAAAGAGGACAGTATCAGTAATGACTCCCACGTTCCATGTGCTGAACTAGGGACAACTAGGAATTTAGGATCATTTTGAGATTGAACTTCTCCAGAGACACCAATTAGCAAATATCAAGTAGACAACTAGATATATGAGTCTTCAAGCGGGAGATCAGAGGCTCAGAAGAGATCTTGGCTAGAGATAAAAATTTGAAATAGAGGATTAATGGACCACAACTACCACAACCTCCACCAGACTGAG